TTTTCCTATCATATTTTTGCTAAAAAGAATGGGGTTTTCTTTCCTTGTGTTAGTTGTGTAATATGTATACTTGTATTATAGGCTAGGTTTAGGCTTAGGCTAAGGCACATCTATGTATCTATATGTGTACTCATCTTTGTGAATTATTCATCAGATATTTTTTCCAGATTCTCGCATTGTATCAGACTAGGGTTATATATATTCAATTGTGGGTTTAACTTTTTTCGTTCATCTCCGGCTATCTCTGGTTCTCACCGCCCGGACCATCATCTTCGGCGTGTCACGGCGAGTCGTCGCCTGAAGTTTGGTCCCGTTCGCCGGCGCGTGTGGCCTTCACGCGCCACCTATTCGTCGCAGCGCCGTGATCTTTCGCCGGCGCGTGTGGTCCACCCCGAACTCCGATCGCCGCGGTCTTTCAGCCGTCGACTCCTCTCGTCGTCGGCTACGTCCTGGTGTAGTAGGTTTTGGTTTTCGTGATGTTTTTAATTTCAACTAATTTGTGTTATTTTGACGATTTCGTGATCTGATTTATGCCTATATTTTCATCTGTTTCGTGATATTGTGTAGTTCTGATTTTTGGATATGGATCGTATGGATGTGCATTCTCCTATTAGTGTTGTGCCCACTTCCGCTTCCGCTCCGTCGCATCAACCTCAGCCACCAGTCCATGTTTATTGTGGGATTTGCAGTAGCTCTAGTCACCCTTTTGCCACTTGTTCTAAGGTAGAATGTCACATCTGTCATGCTCGGGGGCATATTGCTCCAAATTGTTCTAAGGAGGATTGTCACATTTGTCATGCTTGGGGGCATATTGCTCCAAATTGTCCAGCCAAGTCACAACGTTCGGGAGTTTCATTTTCTCGATTTCGGTCTTCTTCATCGACCCCTTCTTCGGTTACAACGGTTGTCACTGATGAGCCTCAGCACTCGTCTTCCACTCTTCAAGACATAGAAGCTATTCTCAAACAGGTTATCCATTCCAATTCTGCTATGTCTGCTACCGTAGGTAACCCTCATTCGTACTTTGATTCTGGCTGTTGTAACAACATAACTCTAGTCCACAGTTTTTGTCTTCCTCGTCTTCCGTAACTTCTTTTCCTCTTATACATACTGTCGATGGTACCCATATGAATATTACTCACACTGGTCTGGTTTCTTCCCCTTCTTTACACCTTCCTGACACATACTGCATTCCTGATTTGGCCTTGAATCTTATTTTTGTTGGTCAATTGGTTGAACAAGGTCTTAATGTTATATTTTCATCTTCTGGTGTTCAGGTTCAGGATACATAGACGGGTCGGCTTCTCGGGACAGGTCGCAAGGTGGGCCGGTTATTTGAGCTTGAGTCTCTTCATATCCCTCATTCTTTCTCATTTTCTGCTCCTGTCACTGATAATAAGTCTAGCTTTCAGTGGCATCTTCGTCTTGGGCATGCGTCTTCAAATAAATTTCGTTCTTTATATAATAAAGGTCTTTTAGGTCTAGGTCATTTTGAGTCTTTTAGTTGTCTTCATTGTAAGCTTGGGAAACACTCGACTTTTTCTTTTTTTGAGAATTTGTCAACTGCTGATAAACCTTTTGGTTTGGTACATTCTGATATTTCGGGTCCTTCTCCGATTGCTTCTATGAATGGTTTGCGGTACTTTGTTATTTTTGTTGATGATTTTTCTCGTTTTACCTGGATCTATTTTCTCAAAAATTGTTCTGAGTTGCCCACCATATATATTCAATTTGCTAGAATGGTCCACACACAATTTTCTTATCCTATAAAGGTTTTGCGTACTGACAATGCCCTTGAGTACAAGGATTCTACCTTTTTACAATTTCTTTCTGATCAGGGCACAGTAGTTCAACGTTCCTGTCCTTATACTTCTCAACAAAATGGACGAGCTGAACTTAAGCATCGTCACATTCTTGATACTGTTCGTGCTCTTCTCCTTTCTGCTAAGTCTCTTGATCGTTTCTGGGGTGAGGCAGCCTTTACTGTTATTTATACTATCAATTGGTTACCCTCATCAGTTCTTCGAGATATCAGTTCTTTTGAAAGGTTGCACGGTCAGTCGCCTGATTATACTCAGTTACGCCCTTTTGGTTGTGTTTGCTTTGTTCTTCTCCCATTCCATGAGCGGAATAAGTTAGAACCTCGAGCTCGGTAGTGTTGTTTTTTGGGTTATGGGGTAGAACACAAAGAGTTTAGGTGTTGGATCCTATTGCTAATCGGTTGCGTATTTCGCGTCATGTTACCTTTTGGGAGCATACTACTTTTTCTTCTTTGTCTAAATTTCACATTCTGTTTGATTCATCATCTCCCTTCTTCATGTCTATTACTTCGGATCTCTTTCCAGATACTTGTCCTGACTCACAGCTCATTGACACGCTTGTCATGCTTCCGTCTTTTGGAGTGGCTCCACCTGCGTATCCTGAACTGACGCCCCCTGTTGAGTCCTCTTCTGATTCTGCCCCTTCACCTACCATTGATCACCGACGATCAACTCGTGTAAGTCGTCCCCCTTCTCACTTACTTGACTATCATTGTTATTCGGCCATCCTATCTCATCATGAGCGTAGATCTTTTCGTGAGGCGAGTGCTGATCCATTGTGGCAACAAGCTATGCCTGATGAGTTGCAGGCGTTGGAGAAGACTCATACTTGGGATTTGGTGGATCTACCTGCGGGAAAGAAACCTATCGGATGCAAATGGGTTTATAAGATCAAGATAACTTCAGATGGTTCTATTGAGCGCTACAAAGCTCGTCTGGTTGCTAAGGGGTTGTCACAAGAGTACGGCATCGATTATGAAGAGACCTTTGCACCGGTTGCTCATCTTACTACTGTTCGGTGTTTACTCTGTTGTTGTTGTTCGTCGATGGTCTCTTCTACAGTTAGATGTCAAGAATTCCTTCTTGCATGGTGACTTAATTATCTGAGGAGGTTTACATGACTCCTCCTCCGGGGTCCTTGTCCTCTGGGAAGGTTTGTCGTCTACGTCGAGCTTTGTATGGTTTGAAACAACCGCCTCATGCCTGGTATGCCACATTCAGTTCTACGTTGTTTCACTTTGGTTTCACTACGAGTGATCACGATTCTGCTTTATTTCTTCGGCGTTCTTCATCTGGGATTATTATTTTGCTGCTCTATGTTGACGATATGATCATCACGGGAGATGATGTTACTGGTATTTCCGATTTACAGGACTATCTTCGTCGGCATTTTGAGATGAAGAGTTTGGGCCAGCTTCGCTATTTTTTGGGCCTTGAGATTTCTGATTCCTCTGATGGCTTCTATTTGTCTCAAGCCAAGTATGCCTCCGATCTTCTTGCTCGGGCCGGTCTCCCAGATTGTCAGACAGCTTCCACACATCTTGATTATGATGTTCGTCTTACTCCACTTGATGGCTCTTTTCTTGAGGATCCTACGTTATATCATCAGCTTGTTGGGAGTTTGATATATTTGACTGTCACTCGGCCTGATATAGCTCATGTTGTTCATATTGTGAGTCAGTTTATGGATGCTCCGAGAACCACGCATCATTCTGCTGTGTTGCACATTCTTCGCTATATGAAGGGCACTCTATTGCATGGTTTACACTTCTCGGCCCATTCTTCCTTGACACTTAGCGGTTATTCTGATGCAGATTGGGCTGGAGATCCTACTGATCGTCGTTCTATTATTGGGTACTGTTTCTTTTTGGGTGATTCACTCGTCTCTTGGCGTAGTAAGAAGCAAACCTTAGTCTCCAGATCTAGTGCTGAGTCTGAGTACCATGCTCTTGCTGATTCCACCTCCAAGTAATTATGGTTACATCGACTACTTGCTGATCTTGGTACACCTCAGTCGTCGTCTACTGCTTTACATTGTGATAGTCAGAGTGCTATAAAGATGTCTCATAATGATACCTTTCATGAGCGCACCAAGCATATTGAGATTGATTGTCACTTCATTCGACAACATGTTGCACATGAGACTGTGAAGCTTGTTCCCGTCTCTTCTACAGATCAACCAGCGGATGTCTTCATGAAGTCTCTTTTTCCCGGTCGCTTTTGTTTACTTCTTACCAAACTCAAGTTGATCTCCACGATACCACCTTGAGTTTGAGGGGAGTGTTAGTTGTGTAATATGTATTCTTATACTATAGGCTAGGTTTAGGCTTAGGTTAAGGCCCATCTATGTATCTATATATATGTGTACTCATCTTTGTAAATAGTACATCAAATATTTTTTTCCAGATTCTCACACGTTGTGAAAAAAAAAAAATGTCCACCAGAATTTTAAATTAAAAAAATCCTACTTTGCTATTTCGACAAAAATATGCAAACAAGTTTCTAAAGTAGTTTTGTACAAATTTTGGAACGGATTTTTGCATATATGATTTTGTGGACCTATACAACGAGTGAGATACATGGGTTTAAAAATTTTATTCCTGTTGGACGGTAATTAAGGTTTACTTTATCTTCAAAATGATTAATATAAATAGAATAGTCGAGCCAATCAATTTCCGCAGCCGACCAACATATGCTCGGAATTGATATTTTATCTCCTATATATTGCATTTAATAAAATCGGATATAAAGTAACCTTAAAATTGATACGATTAAATGGTTAATAATAATTCACTAATACGATACCCGTGTACTACACGAATACTTAAAAATATTAATATTTATATAATAAAAAAATTAAAATATTTTATATTTGTATTGTGAAATTATGTAAGATAAATATCAATAACAATAAA